ATTCATCCATCCATCCTATTCATCCATCCACCAACCCATTTGTCCATTCAGAAACCCATTCATCCATCCATCTACCAACCCATCCATCAACCTATTCATCCATCCACCAGCCCATTCATTTATCCATCCATCCTCCATCTATTCACTAACCCATTCATCCATTCATAAACCCATCCATCCATCCGCCAATCCATTTATCCATCGACCAGCCCATTCATTTATTTATCCCTCCTCCATCTATCCACCAACCCATTCACCCATTCACAAATCAATCCATCCATCCACCAACCCATTCATCCATCCATCCATCCATCTACCAACCTATTCATCCATCCATCCATCCGTCTATCAACCCATTCACCCATCCATCAACCCATTCATCCATCCATCCACAAACCCATCCATCCATCCATCCATCCACCAATCTATCCATTCATCTATCTATCCACCCACCAACCCGCCAATTCATCCATCCATCTATACTCATCCATCCATCCACCAACCCATCCATTCATCCATCCATCCTATTCATCCATCCACCAACCCATTCGTCCATCCACAAACCCATCCATCCATCCATCCATCCATCCATCCACAAACCCATCCATCAACCCATCCACCAACACAAATAGATTAAGTTAAGTGAATTGTTATTAGAAATTTAAGTGGATTGAACATAACAATCAAGCTATCTCCCAACCTACCCCACCCATTCATCCGCCTATCTACACTCATCCATCCACCCATCCATCTATACTCATACATCCCTCCATCAACCACCCATCCATCCATCCATCCATCTCCCAACCCATCCAACAACACAAATCGATTAATTTGTAAGTGTAAACGTAAATGGATTGAACATAAAACAATGAAGTTATCCCTGACAAAAAACTCAAGAACTGTGTTGATATGTTAAACAATGTCTTGTTAAATAAGTAGTTTGAACAAGCAGCAAAAAATATTGAGTGTAAAAAATATATTAAACACTTTATGTGGTACATTCTACGTCACTTCCGGGGTGTGGTACATTCCCTTTCCGTCGGGAATCTGTAATTGTAAATTTGTTTCGGGATTTGTAAAAGTGTTTTGCGTCTTGTTAATTTGTTTTCTAAAATGTAAATTTGTTTCGTCCTTGGTTAAATTGTTTTTCCTATGTAATTGTGTCTGATGATAAGTAAAAAAGTTTTTCAAAATGTAAATTTGTCTCGAGCTTTGTTAAAGTGTTTCAAACTTTGTAATGTTGTTTTGCACTTCCCGGCCACCGTACAAAAAGCCTGAACTAGTGAACAGTCCCAAATGCAATGAATAAATGTGCCTCTCTCTTTTTGACATTTCCAACAAGCATTATTATTTGCCAAACCCATTCTATTGAGTCGAACAGGTGTGAAGTAAAACCTGTGAACAATTTTATACAGAGTAAATTGTCCTCTCGCTTCTCTTATGTATTTACCCGTGTTTGACTAAATTAATTGGTAATCGACAACTTAATTGTTTGATGTTCAATCCACATAAAATTGTAAAAACTAATAAGTTAATTCCTTCATGTTTTCTCAACGGAAATCGATTGTGTGGAACCCAGCATGTATACACTGTGAACAATTCCAGGTTCCTCACAATACCTTCATGTTGTGCCAACACAAATCAATAAAGATAACTTAATTGTTTTTTTACAAATGTTTGTGGATTGCACATCAAACAAATAAGTTATCCCCCAAAAAACCCATACGAATTGTGTCGTTTCAACTGATTTTAATTAAGCAGTTTGAACAAGCAGCTTTTTGATGACTAGTGTGTGAAACTTTATTTGTACAGCAATGATTGTCACCATCTCAGCCACTGGATATACAATTTAACCTTTGTTTTGTCTGTGTTCAGGAGGCGTACTCTGTAGCGAGGCAGTTCAACTTAATCCCGCCGGTATGTGAACAGGCCGAGTATCACTATTTCCAGAGGGATAAAGTGGAGGTGCAGCTGCCAGAGCTTTACCACAAGATCGGTCAGTCAACACAAACTACCTAAAAACCAGCATCACTTTTACACTTCAGCTTTTATTAAAACGTTTCATGAAACGACAGGGACCTTTCAATGCTTTTACACAAATATTTCTCCATTACTCAGTCTACCAGCAGAGGTTGTTTACTGCAGCTAACCTTGACCCTTTGTTCCAGCGTGATAATAGTTGAGCTGAAAGAGAAAAAGGGACTGAAGGAGTAGATTATGCCACAGCGCTGTGCTGCAAAGCTACTTTTATAATATTTTTAGGGCTTTTATGTCCATTTTCAGCTCATTTTCACTAAAACTCTCCCTTGAGTGTGGATTACTCAGTTAGCTGGATTTGATATTTGAGGATTTAATATGATCCAGGATCAGTGGTGGAAAGAGTACTGAAAAACCATACTCAAGTAAAAGTACCATTACTTGCCTAAAAATGTAGTGCAAGTAGAGTAAAAGTATCTGTTGTAAATTTTACTCAAAGTATGAGTAAAAAGTAGCCCTTTTAAAAGTACTCATGAGTAGTGAGTAGTGAGTATTACGCTGTGAAAAGCTGATGCGTTTCCATGTCATTTGTGGATGTGTGTAAACGTAACATTCTGTAGTGCATGTAGTTATTGCCCAGAGGCACACAACGTCATAGGACGCTAATATTAAGTTAGATTTAGGTTGTAATGTCAAGTGACCAAAATTGAATGCCTAGCCAGCGACAACATTATTTCATGTCTAATAACAACGGTAAATGACGTTGATTTTAGGTTGTGTTAGAAACTCATCAAAATCCATCATCAAAAAACTCATCAAACTCATCAAAGTCGAGCCAACATCTTAAACCAACATCCTATTGACGTCAAATACTGATATTGATTTTGGACGTCTTCTTGGACACTTTTAATACTTCCAAACAGTTGCATTTATAAATCATCCATGTCTTGAGGTAGTTCATTATGAGGCGATTTACCTTCTATGTATGATTTGATTGGACAGGAATTACAGGACTGATTTTTCTAATCCCCATAGACAAGAAAAAAATTGTAGTGACTGCAGGTTGAAGGAAAGTAGTGGAGTAAAAGTACAGATACAGCGCTAAAAATGTACTCAAGTAAGGGTAAAAGTACACATTTTTAAAACTACTCAGTAAATTACAATTTCTGAGAAAATGTAATTAATTACAGTAATTTGAGTATTTGTAATTAGTTACTTTACACCACTGTCCAGGATAGGTTAATTCTTCAAAATTCATGCAGGAGTTCTCAAAGCATATGTGCGCCACTAACCTGGTACAGGAACAAAGACAGCGTTATGAATTTGAGGAGAGTGTGTGGGGGGGGGGGTTGTTGGGGGTGGTTCATGGACAAAAATGAAGGGGGGGGGGGGGTCGCGAACAAATGATTTTGAAGATTTTGGGGGGCCCCTTATAGTAACTCTGGGGGCCCAAACCGTTAGAATTGCCTTAACTTTCCTGTTTGTGTACGAAGTGTTTGACCAGGTGCGCCACTGGGGCAGGGAGGTTGGGGTTGAGTTAGGGCCTACTCACACTATGCCATCCGTACCGTGCTCAGGCCAGGGGCGCCCCCAAGGGGTGGCCAGGGGTGGCCACGGCCACCCCTCGGTAAACTCTGGCCACCCCTGTGGCCACCCCTTTGGCCACCCCAATATAATTTTGCTGTTGACATTATTGATTTAGATGTACTTATAAATCCACACCATTTAAATAAATAATATGCAGCCACTAAATTATTGTTGGTGTTACTGACGTAGCTGATTCATTGTCTCTCCCCCTTAGTGCTGGTTCAATGCTGAATGCTGGTGAAAGCAAACTGACGCATGCGCGCAGAAAACCATTCCCGCGCGCCTCACGCACTCCCGTGTGAATTCCGGTTCGTTGTTTGCATGCACGCCGACAAAATAGGCACCGCTCATGCGCCGTGAAACGGAGTAACAGCCTTTTGTGCAGAGGTGAAAGTCGACTAAAGTTTATATAATATGATGATGATGATGATGATGATGATGTTACTTTCACTAAGCATGCCTTTAAAGCAGAAAGGAGGGATAATGAGTCAGGGAGGTAAGACTTCATAACATGATTTCTCAGCCATGATCTGGTCTAAGACCACAGATAATTCTATAATACATTTTTTGTATTCTTTAGAATTGTCATAATTAATTTTCATGCAAAAGGTTTCTCAAGTGATCTTGGCATATCACTCCAGTTGTTGTTTTCCAGTAATATTTAGGACTGATTTCTGTTATTTATTCAGAATAATAATTGTATAATAATATTAATTGTATTTATTTAAAATAATTATAAATAAATTGTTATATTTATTGAATAACAAATCTAACAATTCAAGGGAGGTGGGGTGTATAGGGTGGTTCGCCCAGGGTGTCATTTAAACTAGAACCGCCACTACCCTTCCCGATCGTCGTTGACAGCACGCACACACCTTCAATAGACAGCAATGGCTATTTAATATTTACCTTAAGGTACAGTTTATCAATAGAAGAAGCTGCATTAATAAAATGGCTCAAAAAGTAACATGGATAAATGATATTATTAGGTATAGTGAGTGTGTATAGTAATGCCTTTTTGGTTCAGTTTGATCATTTGTTTGGGTTATTAATAAACTCATTATTCTTTCATTCATTTTCTTTTCGTCTTAGTCCCTATATTAATCCAGGGTCGCCACAGTGGAATGAACCGCCAACTTATCTAGCACATTTTTACACAGTGGATGCCCTTCCAGCAGCAACCCACCTCTGGGAATAATAAACTCATTAATCTTCATTAATTTTAGACATGGCATATACCATATGATGTACAATAAAAGCACGTAAAAAGTTATTTATAAAAGTTATTTATACAGTATATATCAATATCAATATTTCAAGAAGAATTAATTCAATGAATAAAAACTACAATATTACATTTACCAAAAACAAAAATATAACATTACACTTAATTCATTATTTTTTTGTGTGCCACCCCAAGATTTGGTGCGGCCTCTTCTGGCCACCCCTAAGAAAGTTTTCTGGGGGCGCCACTGGCTCAGGCCCGTTTCCTGGATCGTGTGAGTGCGCTGAATCGGGCTCAAGCACGGTTCACTTGGCCGGCCCTGGCCCGATTAGCCAACCTGGGCCTGCTCTCTGGGGTTCTCAAAACATCCGCTGACTCCTGGAGCTCAAATGTGCACATATGCTAGACTCGAGCACATGACATAGTGTGTGTGTATGTGGTCACGTGATGTGCATCTTCAGTGGTATAGTGCGGATGGAGAGCTGTTGGGGAATGCTAGATGGAACGCCAGTGTGTATGTGTGGATCGTTTTCGTTCTAAAATGCATTTGAAAACTAAGACGTATTGGTGTAAACGGGGCCTGAGTGTCTGTTTTTCGCGAGCGGGTTTGTTCTATAGTGAGAACAAGCATGACTGGTTTGATTTTATTTGACATCTTTGCATTTATGAGGAGAAAGCTCGGTTATGGATGTGACAGATGTGAAATTGGCACTTGTGTGACCTTAAATTAAATATAATAGTTTAAAAACACAGACAGAGACGTTTTTGACTATTTTTACAGTACTGTCAAGCCTACACAATAAACATAGAAAGGGTTTGGCTTTGAAATGTTTTCATGGTAAGGTTAACATTTGCATGGACTTGCTCTACTGTTTCCTCTAGTATTTGTAATTTGTCACTGATTAGGACAGATGTGAACTCCAGCTGTGTGTTGTACCTGTCTCATGTTCAGGTGTCGGAGCGATGACTTGGTCTCCTCTAGCATGTGGTTTGATCACCGGAAAATATAGTGATGGTGTTCCTGACTGTTCAAGAGCCGCAATGAAGGTGAGAGAGATTCAAGTATCTCAACTCTCTTCAGCTTCTCCATGTCAATCACTTTGCAATTGAATCGTCATCCTGCAGTGCATTTACAGTGCAGTGCTTGACCTGAAGGTTTGGTTTTGTGTGCAGGGCTATCAGTGGCTGAAGGAGCGCGTCTACAGTGAAGAAGGACGCAGACAGCTCGCCAAAATCAAAGAGCTCCATCTGGTGGCCGACAGGCTGGGTTGCACGGCTGCTCAACTCGCCATTGGTGAGAATCTGCACAATTCACACTAGGACTATGGTGGGAAAGATCATTTATAAACACGGCATATGAAATTATAGGCATGGGTGGGTATAAGATTGTGACGTTATGATAACCTTGGATAAAAAATATGTTCTTTTTTTAACGTCTGGCTAAAAGCAACAACTTTTCACCCTATTGAACACTATATTTTTTATTTTAAGAAACATTTCAAATATTTTGGAACAGTAAACATCATACAAATAAATCTTTGACTTCTGCTGTCTTCATTAGCTTAAAAACAGATTTCGTTACAACCTGAAAAGCCATTTTTTGGGTATGTTTGGATATTAAAAGCCACTGCAATGTTCAGGTTTACACTACGCTGGATGTAGGAGCGTGAGCTATTTGTTTTTTAACTGCTTGTTCAATCGTGGAAGATTGCTGGAGATATTATTGTCCTAAAAAATTAATAAAGTCTTTTACTAATAGCTTAGGAACAATTTTTGTGGTCAAACCCGGTAAACCTTGAAACCGGTTATCATAATATGCCTGGTATGAGGTGCTTTCAGATGTCGCTGATGTACACTTGGATTCTGACCCGGTGCTTATTTCATTAGCACATTCTGATTATACATATTCACTGAGCAGTGGACAACTTGTTGCTTGATAAAAAGCCTAAATGCTGTTATTATTAGCCCCCTTAGATTTTTTTTCTTCTTTTTAAAACATTTTCCAAATGATGTTTAACAGAGCAAGGAAATTTTCACCATATGTCTGATAATATTTTTTTCTTTTGGAGAAACTCTTTTTTGTTTTATTTCGGCAAGAATAAAAGCAGTTTTTAATTTTTTAAACACCATTTTACAGACAAAATTATCAGCCCCTTTAGGTTAATTTTTTCTCAATAGTCTACAGAACAAACTGTTGTTATAGAATAACATGCCTAATTACCCTAACCTGCCTATTAACCTAACCTAGTTAAGCTTTTAAATGTCACTTTAAGCTGATTAAAAGTGTCTTAAAAAAATATATAGTCAAATATTATTAACTGTCATCATGGCAAAGATTAAATAAATCAGTTATTAGAGATGAGTTAATAAAACTATTATGTTTAGAAATGTGTTGAAAAAAATCTTCTCTCCGTTAAACAGAAATTGGGGAAAAAATAAACAGGCAGTCTAATAATTCAGGGGGGCTAATAATTCTGACTTCAATTGTTTATATATATATATATATATATATATATATATATATATAATGTTTCATTGTTTAAATAAAAGTATATTTAAAAAAAAGAGAGAGAGAGAATAATAAAAGGCAAAGAAATGATTTGCTCATAAATAAAGCTTTAATATGAGCATTTTCTCTAGACAATCAGTTTGGGCCTTCAAAATATTTTCGTAGGAGATGGGCCTCGAATTGAAAAAGGTTATGAACCCCTGTCTTAATCCACACATACACTTTTTGATGTCTAAAGTCTGCCAATCAGACCGAAGCATGCATGACAGACAGACAGACAGATAATGTGATAAGCATTCCTCAACAGTTTGTGTATATAAAAGTTTTGTGTCATAAATAAACAAATGTGTTTTTTGTGAAATCTCTCACTCAGCATGGTGTTTGCGTAGTGAAGGGGTCAGCTCTGTGCTTCTTGGTGTCTCCAATACAGACCAACTACTTGAGAACCTCGGCGCCCTGCGGGTAACACACACACACACACACACACACACACACACACACAGAGCAAAAATTCTGCCGTCGGTATCGGCGAGTATTTGAACCCATAAACCGAGATTGAGACTAAAACAACTGCTAACCCAGGGACAAAAGTTGGTTTCAAATACTCGCCACTACCAATGCCAGATGTTTTGCCATATCCACAAGTTCTTCCAATACTAGTATCGAAAATTAAACAACCCTAATGCTATCACAAGATGAGCTGATTTTGCTATCCTCCTCTTCAGCTGCTGTCTCAGATGACTCCTCAGACCGTGAGCGAGATCGATGCTCTCCTGGGCAACAAGCCTCACTCCAAGAAAGAGTCCCGCGCTTGAGGGAACCGGAGGACCACATGATCATGAAGTGCAGCCAGAAAGGACAATGAGAGAACGCAAGGGGGAAAAGACGGATCACGGCGAACCATGGCTTTTCTGCTCTCCCGTATATTCCAACACCTGCATGCCTTCTGCAACATGCTTCCAGCCCATACCGCACTGCTCTGTAACCCTTCTCAAATATCCAGCACAACCTACCGATCAAACACGGCTGTCCGCAACATCACCAACGCCACCACCTTTTACATTTTGCTTATTCAGACAGGGTTTCAGTCTTCCAGGTGGAAGCACTGCCGTTTGTTGGAGGCCAGTGAGGAGTTCGGCGTTATCCGCAGCCCAGATGGATTCTCTGCGATTAGACTGAGGCTTTATTTTTATCGGCAGCTGGAAGCACTATTGAATTTGCCAAATATTTATCAAACAAACCTGCGCCGGGTGAATGATGTGCGATGATGATGGGCGTTCTGTGCAGATTTTTGTTGCGTGGGCCTGGTTGTGCGTTCACGAATTGCGAAGGAGTGTTTGTGCGTATGCATGCGGTGACACTTTGAATCCGACTCTCCATTGCTGGTGTTGCACTCATAAAATGGACGCCGGGCAGACTTTACACAAGGGAGGATGTTTCATCCCGACGGTGAGGGCGTCCGTTCACTGCCTGTCACATTTCATTCTGGCGGTGCAGGAGAGCGTGGCAAAGACTCCAGCGTGTGACGGGAAACAACATGCAGCAACTTCAAACAGCTGTTTGGACACATCACAAGTCTTCCTCCATTTCCCTCCTTTCCATCTCTCCTTGTGTTTACAACGGTGCACCTGTCCCTTTAAGAGAACCTGTGCAGTCGGGGGAAGGGTGTGTGAGAGCGTTCGTGGTACCTTGCAAACATATTCAGACCCTCACGAGTTCACTTAGGCCAGGGTTGTCCAAAGTCGGTCCTGGAGGTCTGGTGTCCTGCAGATTTTAGCTCCAACTTGCCTCAACACACCTGCAAGGATTTTTCTAGAAAGCCTAGTAAGAGCTTGATAAGCTAGCCCAGGTGTGTCTGATTGGGGTTGGAACTAAACTTTGCAGGACACCGACCCTCCAGAACCGAGCTTGGACATGCCTGACTTAGGCCATGTCAACATGTGCATGGGTATTTTTATTTAGTTTTAGTTTTCGCTGCTTTCGATGTTTCAATTCGATTTATCTTTATTCGTACCCTACTTAAAAAACCAGGTTAAACCAGCCTAGGCTGGTTTCAGCTGGATTTTTCAGCAGGGTATAGCGCTTTTACAATGGAGATTGTGTCAAAGCAACGTAACATAGAAGATTATAGTAAATTGAAACTGCGTCAGTCCAGTTTTAAGAGTTAAAGTTCAGTTTAGTTCAGTTCAGTGTACTGAGTTTGATGCGGCTGGGATGAGAATCAGCACCTCCATGTCCGAGGCCATGTTGCTCCACGGGAAAAAGGTGGTTTGCCATCTCTAGGTTGGAGGAAAGTCCTTACCCCAGGTGGAGGAGTTCAAGTATCTTGGGGTTTTGTTCACGAGTGAGGGAAGGATGGAGTGTGAGATTAACAGGCGGATTGGTGCAGCGGCAGCAGTAATGCGGTCGATGTATCGGTCTGTTTTGGTTAAGCCGAAAGGCAAAGCTCTGCATTTAACGGTCAATCTATGTTCCTACTCTCACCCATGGTCATAAGCTTTGGGTCATGACCGAAAGGACAAGATCTCAGATACATGCGGTCGAAATGAGCTTCATTCGCAGAGTGGCAGGGTGACCCTTAGAAGGTGAGAAGCTCTGTCAACCGGAAGTAGCTCGGAGTAGAGCCACTGCTCCTCCACATCGAGTCAGCTGAGGTGGCTCGGGCATCTGTTTTGGATGCCTTCTGGATGCATACCTACGGAGGTGTTCCAGACATGTCCCACCGCCACCAGGAGGAAGCCTCGAGGAAGACCACGGACACGCTGGAAGGGACTATGTCTCTCGGCTGGCCTGGGAACGCCTCGGGATGCCCCCAGAGGAGCTGGAGATAGTGTCTGGGAAGAGGGAAGTCTGCACTGGTGTAGCAGACGGGCCCCGCGTGATTAGGGGGCCCCGCGTAGTCACGATTTTCAATAATTGTAAATCTGGCAACCGCAATAATCAAACTTTTGGGAACTACTGTGGTCGGAACCAAAGTTCACATGTCTGTGTTCTCTGAACACCTTTCAAGCGGTGGACTATTTCATTCTGATTGCTTACCGCCGAACCGCGTCATAGCTCATACCATAAAGTTGACTTGATTTCAACTATCCTCGACGCTCTGTTTCTTGCCGCTGGTTCTCATTGAAAAATGAATTACTTCTGGCTACTTTGACACTCTCGCCGCTTTCGTTTTGTGATGAGATGAAATCTCTGTTTACATAACATCGCACTGTGAGGCATGTTAAGGCCTCAGTGTACCGACAGGGGGCGATAATGACACTTTTATGCTGGGTTCACACCAAACAGGAAATTAATTAATTTAGCAGGTAGATTGCATACAAGTTAGTTAAATAAGCTGTATATCAAGATGTGCTGGAATTGACATTTGTTCAGTTCACGATGGGAAAAATGTTTCTCTTCTTATCTAAGTTTGTCCTCTTACAGATTTTAAAACTAGACAAACTGTTTAAACTTACGAGGCCTTTACGCTACTTTTGAACACATTTTTCTCAACTTCAAGGCTAAAAGTGCAGTAGTTGAAGAATGGCCCATTAACACGATTATCTTTATAATGATATAAATTGTGGTTATCTGTATATGAAATTACGAATAACAAACGTAGCAGGGCATTCAATTACTGTTTATTTCTTTGCATTTTAACTTTGTAAACTATAAACTCATGCGTCTCCTCACGGTTTGTGTCTCATTTTGTGAGCCGACTGACAGCAGTTGTTCGCTCCCCTCTTTCTCCCCTGCTGGCCACGCCCACTCCTGCCTCCGCTCGCAGAGCTCCACGCCCATTATGATGCAGTGTTTGAAAAAATTCTGAGGTAAACTTGAACCGAAAGAGAGGGGTGTCATGGCCCTTTAACACACCTTCTTTATAGACCGGAACACCGATGAGTCCACAGAGGGCGCAAATGAATTTACTATATAAACAATTTGGCACAAAACAGGAAAATTAGGGTTGCGCTGGTCTGAAAATAGCAACAAATCGTGCGGTGTATGACAGGGCTCAATATGTTTTATTAGTATAATATATATTGCTCATATTTTTATTCTTACATTTAATAAATTAGCTTCTAACTTCATCTGTATTAGTGTGTAATCTGTGAGTCGAAATGAACTGGACATAACAGGGTCTGTTTGCTTGCATATTATTATTGAATATTGCACATCTATACGCAATCTGTTCTGCATTTTAAGAATTCATACTGGGTCTGAATACTTCTGCAAGGGACCATGTGTGTGTGTGTGTGTGTGTGTGTGTGTGTCATGGCTTCAGCGGTCAGCATCCTTTGCACTAAGCGGACAGAGTCATCATTTAAAGATCACATAGTTCACTAATAGTCCTGAGAGGTCATAGGTTAAGATGACCAGAGAACTGTGCTAGTATTGCTTTGTGTGTTTGACAAACTCAAACTGCGTCAGTGACAATGAAAAGCCAAGAACTTCACTTTTAAAACGTGTCCGTGATTTCAGACAGAAAGAGACAGATCGGCTTACTCCTCGATTTCCCGTCAGCCATTGCTGAATATCACAATGTGCAGTGCCTCTAAACACACTTCATAAATACATCCGTTCACCCACCGCTGACGACTACCACAGAAAAACCATGAGCCTGAGCTCCAGCTTTGTAAAAATACAAGCGGCCATTAAAGGGTTAGTTCACGCAAAATTGGAGACACTGCTCGCTGCAGAGCCACTTGAGCTCTAGCGAGGGGGAGCTTGAGCTCCTCCTTCTATAAGCTGTTTTAATGCGTACACCTATCCCACCCCTAACCCCCACCCTCAGTGACATCACTCGTAGAAGTGCATGGAAGGAGGAGCTAGAGCTCAAGCTCCCCCTTGCTGGAGCTCAGCTCTGCTCAAGTGGCTATGCAATGAGCACTACTTGAACAATTGCCAAAATGAAGTGAGTTTCTCCTTAAAACAAGTTAAATAATCTGCCAATGGGGTAAGCAAAATAAATTTATGACAAAAGGAAAAACAAGATTATTCTGCTCACCCCATTGGCAGATTTTTTAGCTTGTTTTAGGGAAAAACTCACTTAATATTGGCATATTATTATGTTTTGCTTACCTACAAAATGCTTCTTGATTTAAGAATTTTTAGATGTTTGAACTAGAAACAACACAAAGAAACAAGACAAAGAAATCCAAGTAAGAAAAGCATTTTCTGCAGTGTGCTCACAAATTCTGCTTTCAAGAGTTCCCACTTAGATATGCTTGGTATTTATAGCAGGTTTGGCATGCTGTCCCGGGAGAGAACCCTGAGCTCGGAGATATTTGAGCCCAGGGCTCCCGTCCGGTCAATAAGCATATCAGAGGATCCGAGATCAGGTAGGTCTCGATAGTTCCCCCTTTAGAAAGGGGAGGAAAAGGAGGAGATGGGGTGGAAGGGGGGATTCTTCCGAAATGAAGATATGGAAAAAAGGAGAAAGTGATCCATTTATAGTACGCTAGGATCACTCGGATTGGATTATTACTGATTACACATGAGTGGCCAGCTGTGCTCAATCATATCAAGTGCTCCTCTCGAAATTAGTTTATGAAACTTCCCTTAAAAATATATTAAAAACTGAATGTTTCAGAAAGATGTTTGAAATATGTTATGGGAGCGTTAGGAAAACATTCCAACAACGTGTTTTTATTGGCTGGAACTCTAGCTCACATTATTTTCTGTGGTATTGACGTCATCCTTTTGAACCCGATGAAATCGAACAATAAAAGATTTAGTTCAGCACAATAAACAGGCACACACCAAATCCTATCCTAGATAAATGAAACTGAGATGAGTTTTGCAATCTTTTAATATGAGTTACAATCGAGAAGCCAGGTTTAAATCAGCAAAACTACTGTTTTTATTATTACACAACAAGTCTGACTCTTTATTTTTATGTTGTCATAATGAATCGGAAAGCTCTGTTTGCTTTCCTCAAAAAACAAAAACCCAAACATGTTTTTGTGTATATTCGACAAAGCTTCACTCTGTTAAAAACAGATGGGATATGCGAACCATGCAGAGTACTGTTCTGAGACCAGTTTAGCTGCTATTGTTAGTGTAATGAAAGGTAAAGTTCAGATGGGTCAGTTATTGTAACTGTCACGATCACCAGCGATCAAACCACTAGATCGCTAGCTGTTATAGTGACAGTACAACTCGTTTCTTTTGTCACTATAACAGAAAACAGATAACAAGTTTATGTAGTTCAGTAATCAGTCTAGAGGCAGCATCAGCTGTGGGAGTCTAATCAGTGGAGACTTGGAGCAGGTGTGTGTGTGTGTGGCATGACTGAATATGTAGTCCATTTATAAGCAGATTTGTAGTCCTATGTGTGTGTGAATGTTTACCAGTGACCTCTGGTGGTTTGATCGCGACAGTAACACCGGTCCCTTTAGTGCTCACAAAAGCCGACTTCTGTCTTCTCTCTACAGCACTGGTTGGTTTAAATGTCTCTTTGTGTTTATGATGCTCAATGATTTATCTAAATATTGTACCCGAGTTGGTTACATTTATTTTTTTGGGCAAGATGGATCGAACGATTGACCTTTTTTTAAATCGACATGCATAATCATTAGCGAGACTGAACTATCATTAGTTAACCTGAAACTAATGTATATATACATTTAGTGCACTCCCTCATATGGTAATTTTGCCTGAATATGTTAAATTTACTGTCATGCAACAAGAAAAAAAAAGAAAAAGGAAAAAAAAGACTAAAATGAACAAAAATCAAGCCCTGTACTGAATGTATCTTGCTTGCCTTTAAAATGTGTGGAGAAAACTTTTGTCACTGTCATTAATGTCAGTATTGGAGTGTGACAAACACATCACACACACACACACACACATACAGTACACACAACAGACACATGCAAAAACACACAGGTATTTTTTTTTTAATTAAATTCTACATTTTAGAAGCATTTGACATATAAAATGTAATTAATAATAATATTTAAAATATTAATAATAATTATATACATTTGCAATATCACACGAGTAGCAGTGCCTTAGTGTCCCACCAGTGATGATATACAGCTATATTGCACTGCTATGAGTGTGATA